TTAGCGTTTAACAATTAAATTTTCTTTAATAAATAGGTCGGAATAATTTGGATCGATGAAACCATGACTTCCTTTTACATAATATTCCCAAATTCCGATCCGGTGTACCAAAATTTTGGATGCTTGACTCGACCAACTGCACCATTTTTCGCCATTTATAAAACGTTGTTTTCATTTCATTCCGTAATATTAAAACATAAACATATTAAACCACTAGCGTATAAACCACTTTTTAATGAGCAACAAATTATGATAGATGGATTTATGGAAGCTGAAAACTTTATAAACTTAATGGGTTATCATAAGTTAGTAGAGTGGTTTAAATGTAAACCAAAGTTTATGGATTTTTCAACTGAAAACAATCTGGAGAGATATGAATTTCTAAACTCTGCAAAGTGTTTAGGAGGGATTCATTTAAAAGAATTCAGTGATGAAATTAGATACGTTTTTGTATGTTATTGTTATAAACTCTTTTAAGGGTTTACTTTTTCTTTTACTCTTTAACCTTTTGTTTTTTGTTACACAGATTCAGGCAAGACAAGAACCACAATACAATTTTATACCACATTTAATGAAACTTAAAGACTTGCCAAATTGTAAATTTATAGGTTATGGAAGTAGTTGTTGGCCTTCCGGCCCGTCCATAGATTTAGAAGAATGGTTCTTGCATGGTAAAAAGTTTTTTTTTCATACATAGTTTCATTTAATTTTGCTTCTTGATTCTTTTTTTTCACCAATAATCTAGGTGGATTCGTAACCATAACTTACGAAACCTTTAATGCACAGAGTCATATTTTCGATAGACTTTATAATGTGTTTCAATATGTAAGTTATAATTTAATTTTGAATCCAACTTTTCTTGATCTAATCTTATTTTTTTTATTTATTAGCAGTCGACACTCCATGTTTCTTCAACGTGGAAAGTTGTCATATATAAAAATGTAGAGGACAATCTGATCAAAAATTTTGAAGCATTTCATTGTAGGCAGTAAGTTCTAAGTTACATATTTTTTTTTTGTATTTATGCCTTATTTAAAATTTATAACTTACTCAAAGTTTTTGTTGATATTAATAGGTCACTAATTTCGTTGCGTACGATACGATTAAGCCTGAAAGATGGTACGAGTCAATATTTTGAAGCTGACGAACTTTTTTGTCAAAAAGAGGTGGGTTGTATGAATTAATTAGTCTTGTAATAATCAATTATTTATATAATTTTCATAATTTGTTATAGAAACTAAAAAATATGTCAATTATAAAATCCCTGAGTTGTCATATGATAAAATTGCATAATAAACATTGGAAAAAAAAAGCGACATTTCATTATTATTTGTGAACCTGATGAAAAACATCATGACATTATTCCCGTTCCAGGGGTATTTTTTTTTTTGTTTTTTTTTTTTTTTTTGCTGCTGCCTTAAAGTATCGGTATTTGTCGATTCTGAACTTTTTAAAATTTTAGGTAGACAGACTGACTCTACAAGAATTTGAGTTAAAGTTTGGCCCCACTGAAAAAATACTACTTCAATCATCATAGTACACATATATTTTTTCTTTTCATAGCGTTGCAACAATTCTTGTGTAGGCTACAGAATTAGATTTATTTTTGTACCATCAGACTTACAATCATTAGCACCTTTCATTTTTTTTGGGATTGTCAAATTAAATAAATATCGTGTTAAAACTTGTTTTGTATTATTGATATAACTTAATAGGCGTCAGATTTATTCGTTGTATCAAAAGATTTGTACTAGACTATAAGTGCAGTGTTTAAAAAAAAGATGATGCTCAACACACATTTTTAGCATTAAAAAAATTTAGACTTTAGTATAGGTGAGTAGACCCATAGTGATTATATCTAAAAGATTAATACAAGTCACTCTCGTTATAGTGAAGGGATCGGGCTGAGAAAAAAAATCTTCACTATAGCTTATATCGAGAGAA